CAGCTCGAGTCCAACAGCTACCAGGCGGTCCAGGAAGCTTCAGAACGGTCCAGCAACATACCAGAGCGGTCCAGACCAGTCTAGACGTGGTCATCAAGATCCAAGCTGCTTCAACTTGGTCCAGAAGCCCCGGTTCGAGTCCAAGATGGTTCCGGAGCGGTCCGAGAAGTCCAACTCACTTACCGAAGGTCCGAGATGATCCGATGAGCTTGATGAGCAATTGGAGCACCATGGTGACTCGATTAGAATCGAGAAAGGCCAAGTCTAGCTGCCCATTAGACTTTGGTGTTCAGACGATCTCCATCAACGGAAATAAAAAACGTCTCAAAGTCAGCAAAAATTTTTAAACCGTAAGTCCTAATCCTAACTATAGATTCCGCTGCGTTAGAATTTATTATTCAATAGATTTGAATGTGCATGTTGTCGATGTTCCTAATATAACCCAACAGAATCAGCCTTTGTGCGCTGACAGTCATCGCACCTCGCGATGTAGTCTCGAACCGTGCCTTGCTGTCTGCGCCAAAAGAAGGTATTGGCTATCCTCATCCACGTGCGGTAGATACCTGAGGTGACCTCCAATTTTAGAATCGTGGAAGTGCTGTATGATCTTCACGCGTAGTTGTTCACTGTTGGGAACAAAGACTCTGCCTCCGTGTAGGAGTAAGTCGTTGTGTAGCTCGTAATCAGCAGCGGTAGCGTCTCCTGCTATGAACCCTCGGCGCAACTCCTGACAGTAAGTATCCTCCTTCTGCGCCTTCCGGACTTCATCCCAAATATCCCAAGTCGGTCCCGTAATTGCGTTAAGCTCCGCTACATCCGTTCGCCAGGATAGCGCATCGGCTACAGCATTCTGTCGACCTGACCGGTAGACTATCTCAAAGTCAAACCCCATGAGTTTCGAGACAAACTTCTGCTACTCGGATGTTACAATCCTCTGCTCAAGTAGATGCTTGAGTGGTTGCTGATCGGGCACAATCCGAAAACGCCGCCCCAGAAGATAGGGCCTTCAGCACCTCACAGCCTCGACAACTGCTAGCATCTCCTTTACGTACACAGATAAACCCAATCGGGTCGTGCCTAGTGCCTTGCTAAGATAGACTAAGGGTCGCCCTTCCTGTACTAACACAGCTCCAATCCCAATATCACTAGCATATGTGTGTACTTCAAACAAGACATCAAACCTTGGCATGACGAGTACTGCGTGGTAGTCATAGTACCCTTCAGCTTCTCAAATGCCTCTTCGCTAGTCTTGGTCCATGTAAACCCTCATTTCTTGGTCATCTCCGTAAGTGGATTGGCAATGGTTCCATAATCCTTCACAAACTTCCGGTAATAGCCCGTGAGCCCTAAAAATCCTCGGAGTTGTGTGAGACTCGTTGGCTTGGGCCAGTCGACCATAGCCTCTATCTTCCGTGGGTCAACCGTCACGCCATTATGAGATATAAAATGGCCTAGGTACTCGACCATCTCCTGCCCGAATGAGCACTTGGACGGCTTGATGTGAAATGAGTTAGCCTCCAAGACTTCAAGCACCACTCTCAAATGTTCCAGATGTTCATCCCATGACTTCGAATATACCAATATATCATCAAAGAAGACTAGAACAAACTTACGTAGATGCTCCTTGAAGATGGAATTCATAGCGAACTGGAAAGTGGATGGGGCGTTGCATAGCCCGAATGGCATCACCAAATACTAATAGTGCCCTTGATGCGTACGGAAAGCTGTCTTCGGTATGTCGGCCTTGTGGAGTCAAATCTGATGATAACCAGCTCTCAGATCGAGCTTCGAGAAGTAACGTGATCCCGCCAACTCATCGAGCATGTCGTCGACACTAGGAATAGGAAATTGGTCCTTGATAGTTGCGGCATTCAGAGCCTCGGTAGTCAGTACAAAACCTCCACGTGCCATCTTTCTTTTTAGCTAACAGTACTGGTGAAGAAAACGGACTCGTACTATACTGAATTAACCCAGACTCTAGCATCTCGTCTACATGCCTTTCAATCTCAGTTTTCTGGAAGTGAGCGTACCTATAGGGATGGACGTGTACTGCATGCTGCTCATTAACCAGGGGTATGCGGTGGTAGAACTCCCGGTGAGGTGGTAGGCCCTTGGGTTCACCTAACACTCCTTCGAATTCCTCGAGAAGCTCGCGCACATCGCCTTGCTGTTGCTCGGCCTCCTCCGTTCATGTATCCTTGCTTTCGATCATGACTGCGTATATTTGGTCGCCACTTCGCCAAACTCTTTAATACTCTTCAACCCAACTTCTTTAGTACCATTCTCAGTTCCCGTGCTCAAAGTGACCTGTCGACCTCTGGAATTAAACTCCATAACCCCAGTTCGGTAGTCAGTGGTCACCTTTCCTAACCCTTCGAGCCATTGTACCCCAAGAACGACGTCAGGTCCGACTAGGAGTAAAGCATAGAGATCAGCCTTTACCGTAACTCATTGGAACTTGATCGGCACCTTCCGGAACGACTCAGTGCATTGCAGCCTCTCTCCATTAGCTACTCGAACTTCAAAGGGCTCAATCTTCGTAGTTGGCAGCTTCAGCTTCTGGGACAAGTCAGCATTAATAAAGTTGTGTGATGACCCGTTGTCCACGAGCACAATCACCCTACGATCCTTGACCCAAGCTGGAAACCGCATCGTCCTTGGCCCTCTAATCACTGCCATTGCGTGCATCGAAATTTCTGCTTCCTCTTCGGGCACTTCTACCTCGTCCCCTTGATGTGGTTCCTCCTCGACCTTAGATTCCTCCCCATCAGAATTAGCAACTTCTATAATAAAAGCCTGCTTACACTGATGGCCCGGTGTAAACTTTTCTTCGCATTTGAAACAAAGGCCCTTCTCACGTCGACGCTTGACTTCCTCGGGGGACAGTCGCCTAACTACTGGCCCTGCCGATCGAGCGCTGATGGTCGGACGCGTCCGTGAACCGGGCATCCGCCCGTCCCCTTCGCGTGACTGCTAGATGATCCTCACATCGTCCCGCTACCTCTATGGCTGTGTGCATCATCTCTGGCCGCTCTAGTCGGACTTCAGCAGCTAGATCGAACTTTAATCCTCCTATGAATGTTCCCACCAATGCTTCCTTGGGCCAATCTCGCACGCTGCATGCTAGACGTTCGAACTCCTTGATGTATTCGCGCAAGCTGCCCGTCTGACGTATGGGTGCGAGAGCCTCATGGTAATTGTGGTAATCGGATGTGCCAAAACGTGTGAGCATCTCCCTCTCAAAGTCGGCCCAGGTGATGGCCTACTACCGCTTGCGGTAGATCCTCGTGAGCCATTGCCACCACACATTGACTTCGCCGTCAAGATAATAGGTTGCGTACCTTACACGATCTAGGCCGTCCATCTCGTTGAGCTCGAAGTATTGCATCGCCCGATTGAGCCATGCATTTGGATCACTGCCGGTGAATGTGGATAACGTGATGCGGGGTTTGTCGACCTTCGGACACTCGCGGTAGTTGGACGCCTGTGACTGTCGTTCGTAGTCGTCCTCACGCTCGTACTCTTCGCGCCGTCGATCTTCTCCTTCGGGCCGCTCGCGGTCATGGTGTCGCGCGTGGTCTTGTTGCCGCGGCGGTGGTAGGCATGCGAGCACATTGCGCGCCATCTCGTCAAAGCACCTATCACGGTTTCCATCAGATCTTGCACTGTTGTCTTCGTATTATCAAGCCCTTCACCTAACGTATCGATAGCTTTGCTCATACCACAGAATTGAACATCGAGATTATCAATCTTATCCTTCATCTCTTTGTTGGCCATGGCTTTTCTCTCTTCCCTACGCTCTTTACTTTGAGGACTCGTGTTGATGATGATATTTTTTTTTGTTGAATCGAACGAAAATAAGGGGGAAGAAAAGAAAAGAGAATAGGTTGGGAAAAAGACACACGATCTAACACCTCTCAATGAAAGCACCAATGATGAAGATCGCGTGTCCCGACTGCCGATAAGCCGCTAGCCCACGCCTTGAACGCCTATAGGTGTTCTTTGAGCCACAACCGCGCCTCTAGGAACGAATAAAATTACAATAGAATTTTGGTGGAAAACTAAAGCAAAGCGGAAGAACAAAAGTTCAGATTTCTATTCATAAAATTGATGATCTAAAATAACATGGGGGATGGCCTTTATATAGGCACCAATTATATCTAGTCCTAATCGACCTAGGGAACTAATAAAGCAATAAAATATTAAGTATCACAGTATAATAAGGAAACCAAATAATCTAGAGATTATTGAACTTGTCTTGCACTCCAAGTACTTCCTCTCTCTCTCTCTCTCTCTCTCTCTCTCTCGCGTATGACCGCCTCACGCCTGCCATTCATGCGCGCCGCCTCAGTCCACGCCCTAGTCCTTGAGGACTAGGGCACCGTCTTTCGTGCGTGCCACGTCACCCGGCGTGCTGCGTACGCTGGCGCCTGTCGCGCCGCCCTCACGCGCGTATCTACCCGCCATACCGCATCCCTCAAGGACTACGGCTTCGCGCCCCGCACATTCTTCCCCATCAGGCATGTCGCGCACGCCTTTGTTCCCGGCTGCTCCCTTGCGCGCGTGCTGCCCCGCCTTTCTGCATGCCTCGAGGCATGAGGCCTCGCGTGCGCATGTTTTCTCGTTGCGCGACCTTTTCACGGGCGCGCCTGCCAATTTTGCTGTCCGCGCGTCCTGCTCACCTTCGCCATGCGCCCCTGCCGCGCACATCGCTTGCACATCCGCGTACGGGCCATCTTCGTCCGTACCACGCGCACTACACTCCAGTGCGCGCACTTCTGCCGTCTCTTGT